GTCGAAAACATCGATGATGTTCGGTAGTGGACAACCATCGGCGGGGATTATTATTATTATTATTATTATTATTATTATTATTATTATTATTTATTTGGTAGACAGGGCCATAAAACTGTCGGACCAAAGATTTTTTACAGAAAATTTAAATTTTATTTATGACATATTAATTGGAAATGATTATCCTCAAACTTTTTTAAATAAATATATCAATATTCGTTATCGGTTTCTTGTAAACGATAATATGGTAGATAGACAGATTTTTGATACTATAAATTTAGTTGTTTTGCCATATATGTGAACAAGTTACAATATTCTTTGAAAGAATTGTATAACGAGTATAACATTAGAGTTTTTTTTTTTATAAGAAGGATCCATTTAAAGTTTTTTCAAAGAATAAGGACAATACTCCATTTGATCTCAGATCGCATTTTGTTTACAGTATCCCCTGCCAATGTGGAGCTTGCTACATTGGTGAGACTAGTAGATATATTAAAAGTAGATTAAGCAAACATAAAAGGGATTGCAATAATGATAACACAGCCCCACAAAAAAATAAACGTGTTATGTACTTTTGACCGGAATACCCTAGCCCTATGTAATTTGACGTCCTAAACACGAATCCGAAGTCCGTTTTGCTCCATCACGTCAGGATTTTTTTCTAACCTCAAAAAACATGTCGGATTTTGAGAGGTATGCGAGTTTTTAAATATTTGATGGATTTACTTCAAACTTGGTATCTGGGGGTTTTTTGGGTCGCTGATTACAAATCTGAAGTTAAATTTCCAAAATTCAAAATAGCGGATCCAATATGGCGAACGAATTTGAAAAAAATTTTAAGATTTACTTCAAACTTGGTATCTAGGGGTTTTTTGGGTCGATGATTACGAATCTGAAGTTAAATGTTCAAAATTTAAAATGGCGGATCCAATATGGCGGCCGAATTAAAAAAAACATAGCAAATCTGTAAGGTTTTTAAAAAAATGTGCACTTGCTGTATATTATTTATTAAAAAGTCAACTTTGAACGCCATTTTTGATCCGCCATTTTGTTTTTTTTTTAATTTTTATTTCACATTTTAGGTTAGACATTTTTGACGCGATATTTTTATCTTTGAGACGTATTCCTTCGCCATAAATAATAAAAAAAAATTGATTTTCAAAAAAAAATCTTTAAAAAATTGTGTTTTTTTTAAATAACTGTATGTAATTTGTTTATTTATAAATTTTCAATATTTTGTATTGCAGCATTCGAAAAAGCGGTTCCTGAGCTTTAAGAAATGTCTATTGCAAAATTTTTAGCAATCCGTTTTCATACTAAAAATTTCTCCCAAAGTTCGGATAAAATTTTTGTACATTTGGTCCTTAAAGGGTTAACTAAAAAATTCCACACACAAAAAGTTTTCGGAATACATTTGAACACTGAAGACAATGATGACAGAAGAATTAAGCCATGACTAGGTATTACAGTTGGATTGGCTAACTGTGTATCCGCTTATCTGAAGTGTGAGAGTAGAAGTACGTTTGCGGGGAGGGATTTTAATAATTGTGGGGACTCCACGACGAAAAACCAAAGAAATGTTTGATTCTCCTTCTCGTCGACCGAATAGTGTGAAATTGTTTTTTGACATTAATTTTTATTTCACTTACTTTACATGAATATGAGTACTACTTGACATCAGATTGCTGTAGATTTCCCCGAAAATCATGTACAATAATAATATGCATTCACACGAACAAAATGAAGATATTAGCCTAAGTCGTTAGAAGTGTTTAACAACATTTAATTTAAAAAAAATTTAAATTAAAAAAAAATTAATTAAATTAAATTAATAAATAATAATAATAAATAATAATTATAATATAATAATAATTAATAATTTAATTAATAAATTTAATTAAATTAAATTTAAATTTAAACTAATTTTAAAATTAAAATTTTTTTATTTAACATTTAATTTCTGTCTTATCGATATGATAAGTAAAATAAATATCCGCTAGATGACACCTAATTACCATCTTATAATAATTATTATAACGGAAAAAACTAGTTACCATCTTATAACATTCGGTTCGGTTTAAAAAACAAAGATTGGCTTGATGTCAGTATACTTTTTCAGGTAAGTACGCATATACACACATGAGGCATTTTACGTGAAATGTCCTAAGTTGAAATTTCAACTTCTTGAAAAAAATTGAAACTCGAGGAATTTGTTGTTCTATCAAGTAGAAACCCAGTGGGCACGGGGACGTCTAAAAGACGTCCCTTTTTGTCCGCGGACGATTCCGGGACAATGATGGTAATGTCTCTGAGTCATCAAAAAGACAACTAAAAGACGTCTAAAAGACGTTCTATGTCTTGTCCAAAAGACCAGACATAGTAAAGACTTACTATGACTAGTAAAGACTTACTTTAAAACTTAAAGACATAAGAAAGGACGTCTAAAGTACGTCTTAAAGACGTCTTTTGGACGTCTACAAGACGTCTTTAAGACGTCTTTTGAACGTCTTTTTTACATTCCTTCAGATCTTAAATAAACATTTCTTTTATAACATTTTCTAAGTTAAAACTCAGTAATATTGTATTAAATTTATTTTAAGTTTAATTTTATTTTTTCTAAAATGTGGAGAAATAATAAAAAAATTCCTACGAAGCTGGGATCGAACTCTGATACCTTGGGATTGAAGCACTGCGCCTTAAGCACCTCTGCCGTTCAAGACACATATGAACCTCTACAAAGATAACGATCTCACTTGTCAATGAAATGAATTTAACTTAGAAAAATTCCAATGAATTGTACATTCATGAATTTCTAAGTTCAAGTTGAACTTAGAAAATAATATTTTCTATTTATGAAATTTTTTCTATTTTCAAATGTTGAATGAAAAAGACGTCTTTTAGACATCTTAAAGACATCTAATGGCCAAGACATAGAACATGTATAGGACGTCTTTAAGACGTCTTAAAGTCGTCTTTTTGTACAAGTCCAAAAGACATCCGCAAAAAGACATCCTTAGGACGTCTTTTGAACAAGTGTGCCCACTGGGAATGTGACCAAAAAAATATTTTTGATTTTTTCGAAAAATTGGAGGGGGTAGAGGGGGGTCAATTTGACCAATTTTGCCAACACCGGCAACTTTGTGAAATTTTTCTGAACATACTTGTAATGGGAAAATTTTTTTAGAATATGTTTCTGAAAGGTTTTTTCGTCCTCTTTTCAATAGTGTATTTTATTTTTTAATATTTTAAAAATTTACCCTAATTTTTGATAATTAATATTTAATTTTCAATTTCCCAAAAAATCGGTCCGTTTTTTTGAAAATAAATTATTGCAAACGAAAGCTGAGGTTTTTCCTATTGGCATGAATATTTTTAGAATGCCCTTTTCTTTGTTTTTGAGTTATTAAATTTCAAAGAATAAATTGCGGCGGGCTGCGTCGCGGTTGCACTTGGTATCTGGGGGTTTTCAGGGTCGCTTATTACGAATCTGATATCAGATTTGCAAAATTTAAAATGTTTAATGTCAGATTTTAATGTTACGAAATTTATTTTCGAATTATGTATATTAAACTAATATAGGTTTGCACTACTTTCGTTATTCATAAATTTACTTTTCCAGATTTTTCACTGTAAGTTTGCATTTTTACAAGTTTTTTACGAATATGACATTCGTTTTATAAAATTCAAAATGGCGGGTCCAATATGTCCGACAACAAAATAAAAAATTGATCAGATTGACTTGGAACGTAATACTCGTGGGTTTTTAGGGTCGCTGATTACGAATCTGACATTAGTTTTTCAGGGTATTTAACGGAATTTGATTTCACCAAAACTTATCATACTGATGTCACATTAACCAGTTTCAAACAAATTCAATAAATTTAAAAAAAATTTCCGCGATATTGAACTAGATATTTTGAATTTTGAAAATCTGATTTCAGATTCGTATTCAGCGACCCTGAAAATTCTCAAGTATTTAGTTTCAAGCCAATCTGATCAATTTTTTATTTCGATGTCCGCCATATTGTATCCGCCATTTTGAATTTTGGAAAATTAATGTTACATTCGTAATCAGCGACCCTTAAAACTAACGAGTAACAAGTTTTAAGCAAATTTGACAAATTTTGACAAATTTCCGCTATCTTGGATCCGCCATTTTGAATTTCAAAAAACTGATGTCAGATTCGTAATCAGCGACCCCAGAAACCTTAGGGTACCAAGTTTCATAAAAACCCATTGAAAATTATTTCAACACACTATTGGCCCAAACAGTGGAAATCTCGTTGACAGCCAAGGGGTTAACAATGAATAATTATTTATGAAATTCTGTAATAATAACAATAATTATTGTTTATTATAATAAAAACTACGTGTAAAAAGACTATAAATTGGAACCCTGTAATCATGCATCGTTTTCAGTGACGAATAATAATTTATCATTATTCAATTACTGTATAATTAAATAATAATTATTAATTACATTATTTCTAAATAAGGGTCATTTTTTAACGGTTGTATACACATAAATGTACATAGAACATAAAACAATCTTTAAATTTTTTTATTGGAAAATTACCAAATTTTTAAAAACTCGGTCCAACATTTTGGATCCGCCATTTTGTATTTTGCAAATCTGATATCAGAATCGTAATTAGCGACTCCGAAAACCCCCAGATACCAAGTTTTATGGAAAATTACCAAATTTTCAGAATCTCGGTCTGCCATTTTAGATCCGCCATTTTTAATTTTGCGAATCTGATATCAGATTCGTAATCAGCGACCTCGAAAACCCCTAGATATAGGTCTGTCAGAAATTTTATTGATTTATTGAGCACTTTCACATTTTTGTACTTTTTAGGGGGTTTTTAAGCTGCGGATGGGGTAGTTTCAACCCTTAAACCGTCTTCTTTGCCGATAAAAAAAATACGTGTCTAATATTTTGTCAAGTTCTTGAAGTGTGCCAAGTTTCAGCCAAATCGGAGTGTAACACCAAGGTAGGTTTACTTGTGAGATACCTCGGAGGGAATAGACCTTTTTGATGTTCCTTGATCCAGTGGTGTAGTTGGCTCAGTTAGAAATTTGAATTGATCCGACCTTGGAAACCAAGAAAGACCTAGAACCTTGGTTTGAGTGTGATCGATTAAATGAGAGTGATTGGTGCTGCCCTTTCCTTTGACAGCGTCAAAGAAGTCTGGATGGTTGCTCTGCCATTTTGCAAGAGGAAACCCACCAGAGATGAGAAGTTCCATGAGTTCTTTTGCGATATACTTGAGTTGTGATAATTCATCAGCCCCACCATAAATGTCGTCCTCGTATCGACCATTGAGAAGTACAGGTACTTCCAGAGGAAATCGATGACCTTCGTCTTGTATGAGTTGCAATAGTACCCTTACAGCCAGGAATGGTGCCGATTTATTACCATATGTTACCGTGGTGAGTTGATAAGAGGTTTCCTTGTTGCTTAAATCAACCCAGAGTATTCTTTGTAAATTCCAGTCATCTGGGTGTACCTTTATTTGACGAAACATCTTCGTGATATCCGTGGAAAAGATGAATCGGAATTTTCGTACCCACAATAATACATCAGAGATATCCTTTTGTAATTTGGCACCAGTGTGAGAAATTGAATTAAGAGAAGCACCTGTTGTTGATGGGCTGGATCCATTGAACACAACTTTTAACGGCGTGGTGGTGCTTTGTTCTCTGAGAATACCGTGATGAGGAAAATAATAGGTTGTAAGGCTATTATTCCTTGGTAGAGCTTTAACCATGTGAGAATCCTTTGCATATTCCTCAAGGAACGAGAAATAAAGTTCCTTGTAATTTTTCTGACCTGAGAACCTTTTAAGAAGTCGTTGTAGACAGCGTTAAGCCTTTAAATAGGAGTCGCTAAGTTGACTTGGTGATGTAGAGAGTGGAAGCCGAACAATGTATCGACCTGATGAATCCCTTGAGTGAGTGGCCTTGAAATGCTCCTCGCATTCCAATTTTTGAATGGTGAGTTTGTCCTTTTCTTTGTTAGGTAGTTCTTCTTGAATACAAAATTTTGTAAGAAGGTTTTGAAGATCATCCAGATGTTGATCCACAATTAAGTGATGAGATAAGTATTCCTTGTTAGAGTTGACATAAGTTGGTCCTAAAATGACCCAACCAAAGATAGTCAGTTGAGCCATTGGTGTAAGAGAAGATCCTTTGATAATATCGGATTGTATAATTTGTGGATATACATCCGCTCCGAGAATGAGGTCAACTTTCATTGGAATTGAGTAGTCTGGATCAGCAAGTTGGATGTTTTGTAGATGAGACACAGTTGAGATGATGCACAGTTGATTCCGAAATGAATGAGAGTTCTGAACCGGAATCGATAAGCATACGAACTGGGTGAGGAGTACCTTGAAGAGAGATGATGAGCGCGCGTGCAGTGGCGAGGAGAACCACTGGCCTTAAATGAAAACCGAAGTCGTCATCCTGTGTTCCATGTCAGTGTTCCTTTGAAGAGCTGGATGTGTTTTGAGATTGACCTTGATCCTTAGTTGTGGCTGAGTTTTATTTGTTAAGACCTACAACTTTTGTGAAAAATATTTTTTCATATTCTGAGTTTTTTAAAAGGTACATGCAAAAATCGCATTTTTATGGTGTTTTTTATGGTTTTTACCATAAAATTCAAATTTTTAATATGATTTTTATAATCATCTACCTGAATTACACAAATGTTACTGATTTTCTTTAATACTTCTTGTTTTTATTAGAATTCATATTTTGGATAATTTTATGGTATTTTATGGTGTTTTACATTTTTCTTAAAAACTATTAACTTTTGGGCAAAAATGTATAGAACATAAAATATTTATTTTGTTAAGGCCTACAACTTTTGTACATAACATTTTTTAAATTCTTCGTTTTTTAGAAGTTAAATGCAAAAACCGCATTTTTATGGTGTTTTTTTATGGTTTTTACCATGAAGATGACCTAGTCGCCAATTTTTACTATAATTTTCGTAATCAGGGCACCAAAATACATAAGTATACCAAGTTTCATTAAAATCGGGGGGGGATCTCTTTCGGAACTGCACCCCAAAATGGATATATTTTACTTTATTTATTATGTAAAAAATTATATTTATGCTTAATTTATAAAATATATTTTTTGTCCTACCTGCACGGAAAGTATGTCATTTCAGGCACTTAAGGCGGGCGCAAATTAACACATTCCGCCCGGGAGTGGGGGAAGCCGGCGGAAAAGTATTTTGCGCCCGCTTGTATGACGTCAGCGGGCGGTAAAGTATTTCCCGCCCGCTTCCCCTATCTCTGAGCGGGCGGAAAAGTATTTTGCGCCCGCTTGTTAATTATTCGATTTTCTTCATTGAAATGCGACATTTTCGACTTTCTTTTTATGTTGACTATAGAACTGCAAACATTTTCAACTTGTTTTATTTTGTCTATAAAAATTTGCAATTTTTTTTTAATTTCTCTAAAAAAAATAATGAGATATTTGATTTTGTTCCCATTTCGTTTATCAAAATTGTCAATTTTAAAAGTTCTTGTTTCAGTTTTGTTTAATTATTAATTACTACGTTCTAAATAAATACTATGTTTCAAGAATACATTGTTTTTTATTTCTATTTTAAAACTTCTATCATTATAGACTTCATTCGATATAATGTTTATATAGAGCTTAATTTTTAACTAATATGAGCGTTTAATCGTTCGTGCCCTCAATATGCCATACTTTCCATGCAGTTAGGACAAAGAATTATGTTCGCATCATGGGCGCAAAGGTGATTACGACTTTGGCGAAATTACCTATTTTGCGCCCTTGTTACGAAAATAACTGTTTTGTCTTACCTAAACAAAAAGTATGTCACTTCGGGCACTTAAAGTGAGCGCAAAGTAAATAAAAAATAATAAATAATTTTTCTAAAAATTAAAAAAAAATTGAAACAGAATTTCCATTGGCGTTGGATTATCAAGAAACTACTGCATTTTGAACAAAAGTACTCCTATATCTAGGGTGATGTGGGGTGATGTGAAACATGGGGGATGTGCAACACTGTCGATTTCTGATTAACAGTTCGATATTGAACAGAGCCAAGTATTGACATTTGTTTGTGTCCTTAGTAGCTTGTTTTTGATATAAAACTCACGAGACAGCTCACAGCTGGGTTTGCTGTACGTAAGTTGACTTAAATTTCTCGAGAAGGAAATATTTCTCGCGCTTTACATATCTAGTCGTTTCGTGAAGGGTTTTAATTTATTTTATAGATAAGAATGTGATTATTGTTCCTTTTTTTAAGTGTTTTTAAATATCTGTTTATATTTTGTGTTTCCATTGCATTGAATTGCGTACAAATCATTTTTCGCAAAATATCATATTTGGGGTGATGTGCAACACTTTTTTTTGGTGTGGACGTAACTACTTTTTACGTGCCATAACTGCGATTCACATGATGAACAAAAAATTCTTAGTTATTTTCCTTTAATTATATTCCTTATTCAGTTATTAATAAACAAAAAACTAAACAAAAAAATTTCTTTTTTCTTTGGTAAAATTTCCATTTTTTAGAGGTCAACTATACCTTAGTAAATTTTTTTTGGCAGATTTCGAATAGTTTGCATTGAAAAAGCCTAAAATTAATAATTAAAGAGATTTTCATCGATATTTATGCATTACATACCTGAATTTTACTGGTGTTGCACATCACCCCAACTTTTTTGGAAAATGCAAAAACAGACGTTTTTGAAAAAGCAAAAAATTTGTAGGAAAAATTTTAAATTCTGAAAATCTAATAATGCAGAAATATTCTATTATAATGCCTCTAAGTCATTCAATTTTGAAATATTTATAAATTTAATTATTTGACATGTTTTTTGTCCAACGGAAAAAAACGTTGCACCTCACCCCACATCACCCTAATTATTACAAAATGAAACAATATTAAGTTTAATTACTATTTCGGTTCTATCATTTATCTGTTTGAATAAAAAACTACACTACGTAATCTCGATGTAAATCTCAAAGCGTTGGTGTCAAAAAAGTTAACCTCGTTTACAATTGAGTTAAATTCCCTGCATAATCGATGCATTAGGGAATTATTTCCATAGTTTGTTCCATGAAAAGGTACTAAAAAGAGTGTATGGAATCTAGTTAATGTTAATTACGTAATAAATTTCTATAAATTACCGCATAAATTTCCATAACTTACAGCAAAAATTTCCATAAATAAGTGAAATCCAAAATTTTAATGATAATTTTTGCTTTACATATTGTTATGAATTATCGCGAAAACTTAAATAAATTTCCGCGAAAGTTTCCATAAATTACCGAAATAATAATGTTGAATTGAGATTTAGGCTACAATACTTTTATAATTTACCTCAACAATTTTTATAAATAACTATTATTTTCATAAATTATTATTAGAAGAAAACACCTTCTTACGCCAAGAACTGTCCAAACTGTAAATTTGTTAATTGTTGTACTTGCTTACAACAAATTTCATTATTTTTCAGTAATAATTCTGCTAGGAACTTTCTGGTTGTCTTAATAAACATAAATTAAAAATTTAAAAGGGATGCTCTTTATAAAGATTTTTTCTAGACAACAAATTTCAAAAACTATTTTTTGAATGGTTTACAATTTTTTATATCTACACATTTGTCTTAAAAAATTTAAAAATTATGTGTTTTTGGAGAAAAATTATTATCTGAAAGAAATGTTAAATTTTAGAGATTAAATTAAATTACAACGCAATATTATCTTAATATGAAAGTGAAATATTACCACACAGCGAACATTTTGATATCACAATAACATAACTGTATCACGGAGAAAAAGGAATTGTTACATCTACTAGCGGATTGTTAATATAGAACTAGCAACTCTGATTTGTTGTTGCAACAATTCTTTTTGTTCTCTTAACAAATTAATTGTTGCAACAAATATTATTTTACAAATATTATTCCAATGGAAAATTTAACTATTTTACAACAAATTCAATTTGACACAGCAACAGTTTGTAATATTTGTGAAAAACCTTTTGAAAATGATGACATTAAACATCGCGATCATTGTCATTTCACGGGAAAATATCGTGGTCCAGCACATCAAGGTTGCAATATAAATTATAAAAATTCACATGTTGTTCCTATAATTTTTCACAACTTGTCAGGATATGATGCACATTTCATTATTAAAGCTTTAGCAACGTCTTTTAAGGGTGAAATGAAACTGTTACCAATAAACAAAGAAAAGAACATTTCATTTTCAAAGTATGTCAAAGGCACAAAAGTAGTATTAAGATTTCTTGATTCATTTAGATTTATGCCAAGCAGTTTAGACAAATTATCCTCCTATCTTGAAAATGATGAGAAAAAAATTACTAAAAAGTATTGTACAAATATGGACGAGTTTAATTTATTGACAAGAAATGGAATATTTCCTTACGAATATGTAAGTAGCTGGGAAAAATTAGAAGAAGATCAGTGCCTGTAAAAGATTGTTTTTATTTTAAATTAAATGACTCACATATTTCAGACGAAAACTATGAGCATGCTTGTAAAGTATAGAAAACCTTTAATTAAAAAACAATAGGAGAATACTCTGACTTGTACTTACAGATTGACGTTCTACAGACTTGCCGACATTTTTGAAAATTTTAGAAAAACATGCTTTACAACTTATAACTTGGACGCGTTACATTACTATACTGCCCTAGGACTGGCATTTGTCGCTATGCTCAAGTACACAGACATAAAACTTGATTTGTTGACAG